TCAGAAAATTCTAAATAGGATGACTATTAATTTGTAATTATTAATAATGTAAGAATCTACCGAATAAAAATTCGAAAATTCTTCTGTATTTTAAGTAATAACGCGTCTTTCCTCTCCTCTCTCTTTTTCTTTTTCCCTTCTCTAGAAATTTAAACTACGCGTAATCTCTTTCCCCGGATACGTATAATTTCGTTTTTCTGCACGGCCGCAAAACATATACCGACGGTGCATCGCAAATTCTACGGTCGATCGTAGGCGAAGAGTGGATCCAAGGAGCGCAGATTGATGATGCGTATTCCGTTCCACGGAGATACAAATTGTTTTATTGACGCGTGGTCGATGCCGTAATTCACAGAGTTTATTGCGAGCGTAATCCTCTTCGCAGTACACCAAACAATGCAACGACTTACGGCACATATAGAATGCTAAGTGTCGAGACAAAAGAAAGGGTGGGTTCGTCCGACGATAGGATTCATCCTAGATACGCTCTAGCTTATGCGGATAAAAAGACCGTCATTGTTTCGTCGAGATTGCACTAGAATGCGGCTCGTTTTATCATATCGTGAGCTTTAATACGAATAATTTATTCGCGAAATATCTCTTATCGCGACATCCTTCGTGCGCGCTAATGCACGCTCAAGATATATCTCAGGAGGAAATTTCTAAGTAGAACTGACAGAGTCTGGAGAATTAATCCGTGTGAAATACTTCGGGGGGTGAATCAATCTAAATTTCTACTGGGTCTAGGGGAAATCTAGAGAATAAATTAACTTAATTAATTTAGAGATAACTTCCGAATATTACAAATCGAAATACCGAATATTTTCGCCCGGAAAATACGGACGAGCCGAGCCGATTTCTCAATCGCCTCGCGATATTTCGCATTTATTTCAACGTAGACGCGTATATCTCCGCATACAAGGATTGTTATCAAGATCCAAAGATCATGACGCTCGTAGCATTGTATTGTAGCACAATTATCGGCGAGACATTCGCCGCGATGTATCGGTTACAGCGTTTTCTCGAATTTCGCAGAAGACATCGAGCGTTCCGTGGACTCGCCTACGTCCCGCCGGGGGCATTCGTGTCTCCGTTCTGTCCTGCGCGGCGTGCAGAACAATTAGCAGATATCAGCGATAAAACGGCCGGCAGCCCGGCGGTCCTACCTGAGTACACGCCGTTTGTCTCCATCGCACCCACGCGTGCGCTCGCGCGTGCGTTACATCGCCGGCGGTGAGATTAGTGTCGAAACAGTAAATATCATCATTACCGCGTTCGGGAAACACGAACGCGTGTGCGGGATTCCATCGCCACCGCGCGATCCAGCTTTAAATACCACCTGTCAAACGACGGCACCGTCTCGCAGCGCTCTCGTCACAATTTCTCCCGCATCTTTTGTTCGTCTCGATTTGCTCGCCGCATCCTTACGCCCCCATCCTCCCCTCTCCGTACGCCTCCGTGGTTTCGCGTGAACCGGGAGATGCGCACGAATCATCCTCGGAGAGAGGGAAAGCGCGATCTTCTGGGTACGTCGAAGGACGAGAACGCGCGGGTGTACCTGCCCGAGAAATGTCGTGCGAGTGTTTGCGCGAGGAATTTTCGTATTTCGTCGAATCTACAATGAGATACCGTGTTGGTTCTCGTTCTCAATGCAGACGTGGACGTTGATCGAACGTAGAAGGAGACACGTATAAATCACTTCGCACAATATAAAGAGATATATCTCATTATTGACGGCTGCGTTGTGGAAATCGCATTCTCATGAAATATTTATAAGCTACTATTTTCTTATAATTATTTATTAGTTGTGCGTCCACATTCAGTCCTGGCATACCCACGCGACTTATCCGTGAGATCTCCGGAGATCGCAGAACAAGTGTGCAATTATGTTCCTTCACATTTGTTACTTCATTCTAAAATCCTCTGCCTTCTACGAGCTGGGACTCGACGTGACACCGTTCTGACCTACGCGGTCCGGGTAACATCTTTGTAACATGTGTTAAGTTAGCCCCCCGACATCCGGAGAAAAGACACTTTCTACATCTCATTCGATTGCTCACCGTTTGCGCATTTTGAGTTCTCATTTATACACCTCTCTAAAAAATTTAGAAGTTATTTAAAATATACATATATGTATATAGAAAGTGTTCATTTTTTTCGAATGTTGGAGACTCACTTCGCATTGAGAAAAAATAATTAAAAATTTATTTGTAAGATATAAAGTATATTTTACAGAAAGANGAGAGAGAGAGAGAGAGAGAGAGAGAGAGAGAGAGAGAGAGAGAGAGAAGGTTGATTTCATAAGAATAAACCTTATTTCTGTGAAATAAATTTTATATCCTATAAATAAATGTTTGACCCTCTAATAATAAGGTAGGATCAGATTAACTGCGGCTACGTTTATTTTGCAGTTTACATACGCTGTTTCTCTTCTTAAGGAGTGTTTTACATTATTATTTATTTCGTTTGCCCATTTTGTACATTGACTATATGAAAAATGAACAAAACAAAACATGGAGTGGAAACCGATCTCATTTTCCTGAATACATTGAAAATCCACTTTACTATTCGATGATTAGGTATTTTTTCTCAATGCAGGTACCCTTGTATTTTCCGTGCGAAATATATGAAAAGATAACAGCAGGACGCCCGAAGACGGTTGCGACATCGCGAATCGAGGACCAAGGGACGGAGATGCAGCCCTGAGAGTAACGGAGTGCGGATCGAGAAAGTTCTTTTTAATATACAGGAAAGTATGTAACATAACGAGGGATGAAGTCGCGGGCTGTTTCACGACATCCCGATTTCGCCCAGAGGACGAGGATGCGCCAGTGTTCCGGCCGGGGTATGTCGCAAGGATCGGCGATGCGCGGCGCGGCGAATCGCGTTGCATCGCTCGGTGCAGTGAAAGGAATACGCCCTGCGATGATCCGTGGCGAATCCGACGGCGATCTGAATCCCGCGGCGGCGTTACGAGACGTTACGAGACGCGCGCGCGCACGAGGGTAATGACGGGTCTCCCGACGACGAGCTCGCATCGTCGTTAAGCTCGATCTCATCGCGCAGCTCCGTCGCGCGCGCGTGTAAGGCGTATGAAAGCACACGGATGCGGCACGGACAACGCTGGAGGGATGATTCCACGAAAAATCGACGGGATTCGCGCGAGATGCAAATGTCGAAGTGCCGAGTATGTCTCGATTGGATGCAAAAGTCGATCGCGGGATCGCGATAGCGCTGTAAATTCAAGAAAGTTTCACAAGAGGGTGGTACCGCGATATGTTAGCGAATTTTAATTTCATTCACGCGTTGTCCCGCGCCTTTCGCTACACGAGTTCGAAATAAAAGCGAGCGCGTCGACGACAAACGAGAACGACAGCGACGCGGATGCGTCGTTCGTTAAACGAGGAAACACGCGATCAAGCGTGAAAATCGCAAGCACTTTTTCGTATAATAGTAAGTACACTTGTGGTGGCCGCGATCACGCGAGAACGATAAATAGTCGTCGCGCGAGTGTCTCGCATGTCGAAAGAAAGAGAAAAAACGCTCTAATACGCACGTTGTTGGTTCAATTCATACAGAATGGCACGCGCTTAAGTGTCCCGACCTCCAAGCGATGCGAACGATATACGCGCGAGGCGCATAAGAATCACGGGAAAAAGCGTAATGCCAGCGTGAGACATAAGTAACGGCTATGCGACATATTACGTGCGCGTGTTTAACATACATTAGAAGGCCCATGCCGGGGCTGGGTGGTTGAATTGCGAATGACACGTGCAGATGATGGCCGACGTTCAAAGTTTAATACGAGCTATTTTATTCTGCGATTCGCCTAATCGACCTGCCCGCCAATTCTGGACCCGATTCTCAGTCTCTCGCTATCTTAAAAGTCGAAGATGTAGTCTTTAAAGCTCGGAAAAAACCGATTTTCCAAATTTTCCCGGGGATTTCCTCGATTTCTTACCTTCTTCGGGGAAAGAGGTAAACGTGACAAGTTTTAATCGAACACACGTAAATTTGTCTAACCCGAATTTTTCCACCCTCGAGAAATTCGCGGAAAAATGGGAAAAACACAGATTTTTTTCCGAACTTTCAAAACTATAATTGGAAAATTAATCAATATAAATTTTTTTCCCAGTAAATACTCGATTCAAAATTTTAATCCTACGTTGAGTCTACTTAATTCTATTTAATTCTATATTAAATCTTCAAGTGGAGAAAACGGAAGTAACTTCTCGTCGAGGAGCACTGATAATGTTTCTTTAATGCTGACAAAAGGAATTTAGACTTCCCGAAGGAAAATTTTAAATTCTACATTAAATCTTTAAGTGGAGAAAATGGAAGTAACTTCCCACTTGTGGCATTAAAGGGAGCGAAATAGAGGGCCTTCGGAAACTTGATGTAAAACTAAATAGACTTAATAATGTAGAACTGAAATCTTGCTTTAGGAATAGATATTTCAAAATATTTTGCAATCTCCGCGGTTCTCGTTTGAGTAACACTGTTCAGAGCGGGAGAGAAAGAGTTGCGAGAAGTGTGCACCATAATTTTAATCTCTCGTTTTCCAGCGATGGTACATTTTTACGGTATTCTTCAGGGGCCCATAGCTACTTTGTGGTCCATACCTAGTCCGCCGGTGCAACGGTGCGCCCGTGTGCGTATTCTAACGAGTTAGTACGTGACGAACGCACACGTTCACACGAAGGATCGCGATACGTGGGCATAGATGCGCACGCGGATGCACCAAGAAATACGCACACACACACACACACACACACACACACATACAAATACACAAGGCGAGTATGCCACGCGAGGGGGACCACTGGTTGCCACCTACCGTCTAATCAGAAAGCCCCGGCCACATCCACCACCCTTTAGCGCGGTATTACGCGAGTGCTCCCAAGATTTATTCTCCCCTTCAACCTGCGGAAAACGATGGCGGGGCAAAAAGGGGGCACAAGCAGAGCGTCTCGGCGACTATAAAGCCTCACCGTGACCCACCTAAGACCGTACCTCTATCTGCAGTTAGCAAGAGAGTCTCGTACGTGGCTTTTCGGGAGATCCGAGTGCGCCTCGACAGTGTGATATTCGCTGGCACTCACGTGTGCACGCCGCCGATAAGAAAAGAAACAAGAAGTACACCGAGAGTCGCCCGGCTTTCTGCTCCGGAATACGGCGTCACTATGAAGACCCTCGTGAGTGTAAACGACCCCGACCTGATCCGCGCGTTTCGGCAATTCGCGTTTCTTTCGATCGCTTAGACGTACAGAGTACCGATAGCTTCGTCTGATCGCACAATGTTCCCTAAATTCTTTCAATTCGCCATGATTCACTAATTCGTAGTCTCGATTACATCGACGCATCGGCTTTCGATTAAAATTTTGGTTGCTTCACTTTTTCATTTTTTCATCCCAAGCAAATGTTACGTCGGGAAAATTTTTATCGTAATTAATGTGAAAAAGAAATGATCCTTTGCAAGGAAAATTGATGAAATTTTTAAAATTTAAAAAAATTATACACTGGGAAAAAAATAAAGAATAAAAAATATTTATTCGATAGGTACTAATAACATATATATTTAAATCTATTTTATTTATATAGAATCAACAATTGCTCCTATGAAAAGCTACAGGTTTAAGAAAATATACACAGAAAAGGAAATATTATTCAAGTAAATAATTAATACTCCTCAGCAAATTTTTATTTTGGTTAAATAAATTTTACTTGGATCAAGTATCAAATATATATATTACTAGAATATAGCATTTTTTCCTACATTGAAGTAAAAATTTGCCAAAAAATATTGGAGTAATTATTAATTTAAATCTAGCACTTTTTTCTGTATATATTTTCTCAATTAAATAAATTTTTTTCTCAGTACAAAAATATGTATACTAGTGTTAGTAAATATGTTATTAGTACCCACCGAATAAATAATTTTTATTTTTCAGATATTTTTTTCTCTCAGTGCGTCGAAGCGAGATTTTGCTTCGTATCGCTCTGCTCGCAATTAGACTAATTACCTCGCTAATTAGTGTCGGCGAAGAAATCGAAGCGAATGTTAACATTGAAGGTTGCTTCTATACCTGACCGGAAATCGGCTAAACGCGATAAATCGATAATAACCTCGGGTAGATTTTACGACACGCGCTGCATATAATAAACACACGATACGACGGATGATCGACAGTTTGTGCCGTTCTTTTACTCTTTGTCGTCTTATTAAACCGGAATTCAGATCTCGCGATCGGGAGCGCGGTGAAGAAATCGGCGACAATTGGATGCGGAGAGATCTCACGAGATCGCCACGATGACCCGGTTGCCGTGGAGGGCTTGACACGACTGAGCCGATGGGTCGCGGTTATTCAATCGAGCGTGCTTCGTACGAACTTATCAAAATTCGCATTTTATTAGCGCATCCACAGCGCACTCGCTTCTACGTGTACGGGGACGTATCGCGCAGCGGGGGCGATTTTATCGGTGAGTTAATTTCGTCATTTCCGTTCGACGCGCACGAACACGGCGACCGTAATATTCTCGGAAGAATGACGACGATTAGGATCGTTCATTATAATTGCGAGCGCTATCGCGATATCGCGTATATATTGCGTGATTCCGCATCGTCGCGTAAACATCTCCGCCCGGCGCAATAATGCACATCGTGCGAACGCGACGGATGATCGAACGATCGCTGAACGCGCGACATTTTTCCCACTCGGGCATAGATCGCGCGGTGATCCTGCGCTCTCGTTATTAATTATATCTTTCTCTCTCGCTCGTTTGTTTGCACTCGCTCGCGCACGGAAAGTATTGCGCGTTGTGGAAATCATTCGATTCCCGGCTGTCGACACACAATGGAGGAAGACTCGACGAGCGTGAGACGAAGATTATGACGCACGGGATACGTACAATTATTCATAACCGCGCTGGCTCACGGAGAATCGAAATTTTTCTGCGTTCCAAACTGCCTACCCGTTTCAACCTACCTACCTACCTAGCTATCCAACCGGCCCTTTTGCATGAGTAATACGCAAGGTTATATAATCCTCCTGACTCTCGCTGGATCTTCCAGCGTTCGTCGTGCTAACCCGTAATACCAAATAGCGCTGAAATATATCTTAAGAGGAGCCTTCAAGTCGGGATCGCGTTTCGCGTAATAATAATCTTGGCTCTTCTGTAACATAAGTGTCTGTAGTATAAGAAAAACAATTACGTGCGATGTCTTAGGTAATATGTAAATGTAGCGCGCGAGGATGACGATATTCCTATGAAGAGTACGGCATAAATCTTATTCTTCAGCCGAGAAACCTAAAGAGGTTTCTTGGCTCAGGAATAAGATTTATGCCGTATTTTTCACAAGAGGTACGTGGTTTCTTTTCTTTAAAAGTAGTATAAATCAATTTTTTAGTAAGAAAAAATTTTGTTTTCTTCGAAAAAATTCGCATGAATTCATAAGCAGAACGATGAATTTTTTTCCAAAATTGAATACATCATTTTCAAAATAAACGACTCATATAATAATTCAGATATTTTACTTGATCGAAAAATTAGGAAGCTAAAGAATTATAGAGTTTAATTAATTTTCGACGAAGGATAATAACATATATAAGTAATATGTAGACACGTGAATAATATAATAAAATTGTTGATATGTGCGCGGGGAAAAATATGAAAACCACAGCGAATTTTATACTGTCGCAACAAAATCTTTCTATTATTATATAGACAGCAGAACGATTTGTTAAGAATATTTATTGCCATTGTTAAGAATACTTATTGCCATTCGCTAGATTATTTTATCGATTATACTTCTACTGTTTCTACACATTATTTTGCTGCAAGAATAAATTAGTAAATGTAGCAAAACACTATTTTGTTTTAACAACAAATTAACGTGTCTTAAGGACAGACTCAGGAGAATATTTTCTATCTTAGCAATAAAACTGTTTCCGTTCTAATTACGAACAATTCACTAATTTGGTTATGCAAATTAAATTTTATTGCTGTCGTAACGAATATGCAGTAGCACAACGATGGTTTCGTTGCGACACCAAAATTATTTATCCCCGCGATGTAAAAGCCACACGCACTGAACGATCAGCTGCTAATTAAAGATGATAATAATGTCGTTTGTATGAGTGTCGAAAGAAATTGTCGTGTCACTGGCGCCACGTTGGGCTCGTAAACTCTCGCCGGACGCTTGGGCGAATTTTCGCGAGTGTTGCGTAATTTTAACGATCATTTCGCAGATACTGCTGCTCGGTCTGACGACGATGGCGTGCGCCCAGTTCAATAGGTTTACGACCCCGTATCCACAACCGACGCAATATTACAATCCCAACTACTACGGCCGGCCTTTCTACGCCATACTGCGACAGACGCAAGACTCCTCGCCGGACGGATCGTACTCCTACAGGTGAGATCGTCCTTCCGTCTCTCGTCCTGGAACGTGCCGAACAGTGGCACGATAAGGCATAGCGCCGAGGCGTTCGTACGTTTCCTCGCGGCGCGATCTCGACACGCTCGAGGGATCGCGGTTGCCCTCGAGAAGTATGAAAACACTCGGCTCGCGCCATTCGGCCGATGTAATCGCAAAGTTAACACGCTCGGCGTGATCGCCGCTCTTTTTCTTCTCCCGTCTCGCGTCTTCGACGGGAACGAGAGGCGATTAACGGGCGGGAAATGCACCGCAGTTAATGCACCGGAAACGCACGAAACCGCTGATGACAGCGAGCTCGCGCGCGAAATTCCCATATTCCCATAAATCGCGCAAGTTCAATTTAAATACGATGAAGGATGACTAAACCGTACTTCCGGAAGCACATTACGCTAAGGATGACGTGCAATTGATCGAGAGGAGTCGCGATACGATCGTCTGAAAGGATGTGGGATGCGTTGCATCGGTTACCGGTGATGTGAGTCCATATAAGCATTGTTTGCGCCGCGATTTTTCGATCCTAACGGTGTCGACATCCTTTTACTGCCCGAAAAAGGAAATCGAACATCGCAATTATGTCTATCTTGCTCTTGTGTAACTTTCGTTAGCCGGCTCGTGATTATTTTATTACCCGCCCACCGTGCAATTTTCGAGTCCCTCTCTCTCTGTCTCTCTCTCTCTCTCTTTCGACATGAGAGCGGCGCACTCGGATGAAGAAAAAGAAAATTTTAACCACCGCCAAGGCCGACAGTCATACATAGTCGTTCGGAAGCTACCGAATACGGTATGCTCGATTTACCGTAATTAGGCATACTGAGCGAGGATTTGCGGGTTCGCGTGCGCCCACAAATCGCACGTGCACCGCGAGTGCAATGTCTTCGCAGGTATATAATGTCAGAGCAATCTTCTAAAAGAATCTCTGGTTAGGAATTGGCTAATTTTCTCGTTCATTCAAAGAAGCAACGGAATTACTAATTTCAAGCTAATCTCTTTTACGCCGTATTTGATCACAAATAATCGCGACTTCGTCTGTAGTGTCCCAATTTGTGAGACAATGACGATTGTACACTCGAGGTTAAAACTCATGTTCGGTTAACTGCTTTGAAGAAATTTCGCCACTCCTCTGACTTCTCCGCTCATTCGTTCAAGTGGATGACGGGGAAGAGCCGGTCGCGTTCGCGGTGTTATAATGTTCAATTATCACGGGCTTGTGACATAATGTGAAATTTCTGCGGCATTCTGCGCAAAATATAAGCGTCAATAATGATTACGTTAGTCTCGCGACCAGCCTGAATATTATCTTACATTATCGGATAATTATCGGTCTTCGTACGGACGAGACGCACACCGGTCATTATGTGAAATTCTGCGCGAAAGACGCCGAGAAAAGTCGACCACGTCCGCGGTGTCGGTGACGAAATATCTTCGCCCTGTTCTGGCTTTCTAACGCAGATCGCATGATCCGCTGTAATTAGCCAGATACCGCGCGGCGGGTCGGCGATTATCGAATTATCTGTCGGATGAGATGCGACGACTCATCAGCCCGCGGCGTGATATTTAAAACGCGATCCTGTCGGGCGCGACATCGACAACTTGGAATTAGAAACCCGCGATTACATCGTTGCGACACTCTCGCTCCATCGCGCCATTGACACTCGCTTTCCGGCTAATTGAATCCGCCATTCAATTCAGTAGTCCTCGCCTTGCAAATATCCCGGTAGTTACCGACCATTCATAACTCAGTAACGACCGATTGTCTCGCTTTGCTCTCCAACCGTGACTCTGTACAACTCGCGAGACGTATCATTCGACATGATCAATCGGGCGTGGCCGAGGTCACGGGCCTTCGGATGCGGGTCAAACCGCCCAATGACTTAACAGGCGTTACTTAAGGTGATCAGTCTTCGGGAAAAGCGTGGACCCTCCGTGCAGGACGGATGGCTGGCCGACCGACCGGCCGGCCAAGGGAAGGATACCTAATTGGCTTTGATGTTAATCGTACGCGCCACTCGGCTGCGCAGTTCGCAATAGCGCATTGCGCAATCGAACAATTACAATCGACCTACCTGCCTGCCTGCCTGCCTACACGCTCACCTTCCTTACCCATCCTCAGTGCTCTCAAGCTCGCGCCTAACTCGGGCCCCTCCCGTGACACCTGTCTCTGAGACGCGGTGACTCGGCCAGGCTCCACCTAACAGCTCGAAGGTGGCGTCAACACTTTCCTCCGACTGGTTTTCCCCGCGAGCGTAGCGAGAAACTCGATGGAAAAGCGGGTGCCATGGGAATATGCTAATCGCAGGGACGAGATTGCCGTTCCGATTCGACGAATGATTTAATGAAGCTCGCGATCTTGGCAGATCTCGTGAAGGAAGGCGCGCTTTCGGCAATCACTCTTTCTCGGCGGACGTCCGAATTCTAATATCGAATAATTTATTTGTAATTGATTTCGAAATAATGCGACATCGGTGTTCATTTGAGAAGCGGATGTTACTTTGGATCGGTTACTTTATCAGAGTCCTGATTTGATTGACCTCTTCAGGGACGAATTCATTAAAGTCGGAAGAAATTGATTTCATTTCTGAGTGACAAATACAACATCTGTCAATCATATCACGCGATTCTTTTTTTTCCTGTTGCCGGAATTTTGTGGCGAACATTTAATCACAGAAATGTTCATTATATTTTTGTCGACAATGTTTGAATTTACAAAAAAATCAACAAATCTAAACGTGTGTCAGTATCTTCAGAGAAGCTGAATTATTAAAATATCATTAAGATATCGCAGTTTGAAGATCACGAACGATGACCCCCGATACAATTTTTCTCCGAGGGAAATCAAACTCTAGTAAAGCCATTCTCGTCGGCCGTGTAAGTCACCAGGAACTTACATTGTTAAGTGAGAAATTATAACACTGATGTAACGTTATTGTTAGTCAATAACGTTACATCAGTGTTATAATTTCTCACTTAACAATGTAAGTGGAATATAACATGCGTTGTGTGTAACAGTTACACTGTTGAGTAGGAAACAATATTATTGTAGTGTCACTATTGGCGTCTACCGGGATACATTAAAATGATCTCTTTTATTTCCTTTTTTTCTCACAATAAAATCTCCATTCTATTTCCGTTTTATCCGCCATCGGAGATCGCACTAAACGGTAACCTCCCTTTTACAGCTACGACACGGAGAATGGCATTTCCGTGGCGGAGACGGGTCAGCCGAAGAACATCGGGCCGAACCAGATCGAGGCGGTCAGAGGTCAGTTCAGTTACACTGCTCCGGATGGCACGCCGATCCTGGTGACTTACACGGCCGACGAGAATGGCTTCTTGGCGAACGGCGCCCACCTGCCGACACCGCCGCCGATACCGGTAGCGATACAACGCGCTTTGGCACACAACGCGGCTCACCCCGAAGAGGAGGAACCCTACAGAAGATATTAGACCTCGAGTCTACGCTAGAACTACCCGACGCTTCGACGTAGCGACGTGGACGGACGCGGCCGTCCGGTCGACGCTGACAGTCGTCTTCACATATTTTCCGGATATGGACGGACATCTCTCGTCTTCGAGGGATTTTTCAAGAGCGAATTGTGATTCGACCTCGCTGGCTATCGATCACGGGAATAAACGTCAAAGCTTATCCGCGGAAGAAATGTGAGATGTCGTTTTCGCGTTTTCTTCGCCGATCCCGAGTCGAAATTTTAACTTCTACATCAAGTCTTCAAGTGGAGAAAACGGAAATATGTTTCCACATGTACTATCAAAGGAACACAATAAATGTTCCTTTAGAGCTACAAAGCGAATTTAATCCTCCAGAATGTAAATTTCAATTTCATATTAAATTTTCAAGTGGAGAAAACGGCAATAACTTCCTCAATTGCAGCGCCAGAGTAGAGCAATAGAAGACCCTTGAACATTTAATGTAGAACCAAATTAGACTTAAACTAGGACTAAAATTTCGGCTCAGGATGAGGCGTTTCCGGAGATCGACGATCGCGCTCGTCGACGGGCCGGCGATCGTTCCACGACCGTCTCCGCGAGAAGCTCGTCGGGGAGTTCTAGTGTTTGCTTTATGCGAGGAAGACCAGGCACGATCGGGCGAGACGACGTAAGATCGAGCGGTGCGAGTGGGAAGGGAAAAGCTACAAATCGCGGTTGCTGAAATTTTCAACGGACAGACGCGGTCGCGAGTCGCCAAGAGATTCACGCGGCACTCCGAGAAGAAGAATCCGTGTTCCTCGGCTCAAACGTAAAACGTATTGGCGCAATACGGAGATCGTCGATCAACGCGGCATTCGCCCCGCGTTGATATTTGAAGAAATCGCGATTGAGGCGCGACAGGAGAGGCCGTAAACGCGTTCCGAGGATGCCTGTAACTTATAATAAATACGACTCGAGAAACGAAATAAAATACGCGTCGGGGATAGAATTATTGTAGATTGCGCACAGAGAGCCGAACGCTCGCAGCCGCGTGTTCGATGAAGTTCAGCGTTATTATATAATACGACACGATAGCATCTTAATTATGAATTACGCAAAACCGCTCGGCCATGCTCGAGAGGGATACATCGGCGATACATCGCGGGACGGTTGTCCGGGACGGTGCAATTTGCGGGTTTAGCTGTTTCTTCAGCCGCGACGATGACGACGACTTCGACTGCGAAACGGAGTTCTAATCAATTACGTTCTAATCATTACGCCGACTCGCGAAAAGGAAGGAAAAAAGGGAAACGGAGAAATAATTACAACGCGTTTTTAATGATTGAGGCGGTGAGCTTATCGCGCGCGTAATTAAACGGAAACATCGTTACCCGCGCTCGTCCTTGACGATTTCACTCGTCGCCTGAACGTGCCTTAACCCTAAACGGAATATGAAACACTCGACTCACGTAAAACCACAAAACTGACAGAGCCCTGCGCGGCTGTTCTTTTCCACTGAATTAATGTACACTTATAGAACTTAAAGAGAGACAAATATACAGCTAAGGCTTGGTTGGAAGAACGGGAAGGAGAGAACTAGTACAAGCTGGTGCAGTCAGTTCAGCGTAAAAGAACAGACCTGTAATTAGAGAAGAAAGGGAAAGGGAAACAAAGAGGGATAATTTCACGTTTTCAGCGGCGAAGAGAACGAAGTGCCAGAAAAAATTCATCGTATTATCACTGTATTATCTTTACCGTATAGGTTGTTACGCTTAGCTTAAGAAAACGATTCTTCTTCTGTACGCGATTTTACTTAAGGCGAGAGAGAAAGAGAGGACGATTCCTCGACAAGAAATACAACGAATTGAAGGAAGGATCTGTCAGGATTCCGTTGCGCTGTTTAGGGTTAACCGATTAACCGACGACATTCCGCGTCCCTCGAAAGATCCGCCACGAAGTGTAACGTGCGCTTCGCATTATCGAACCTAACACGAAGAGACCACCCGTCTACTGACGCGGTCGAGGTCCTGCGTATCCTGCGTATCGATTACCGTCTGGCGCTTCCACTTTCTCCGCGCTTCGTCGGCGAAAAACTGGCGGAGCTGACGAGAGCGAGCAGGATGGATCTGGGCGACAATATGTCATATCACATTGTGCTCTATTGTACTTATATCATGCTATGGCTACCCTCATTAAATCGTTTAATTGCGCATGCGTATCCGCGTCTATATATATATATATATATATATATATTCTCAGTATCATAATTACGTGCCTATTATTACTATTCACCACGCGCCACGGCGATGCGCCATTAATTAAGGACTCGTTCGTTACCCGCGTCCTTGGCGATGCGTTTATTTTTTTTCTTTTTTTCAGCACGAATGAGTCGCATGCGCGATCGTCGGCAATAAATTATTTTGGTAGACGGACAACTCCATTTAGCAATAATAACACCTAGTTACGATAAGTTATAACGGCGATTAATTTATTCCGGCATTCATTATTATCGCCCGCTGCGATAAATGTTGAAACTCCGCAGACGCGCGCGCTCACCTCTTGTCTTTTGTGAATAGCGTTAACTTGTGGCGCATCGCGGAAAGCGCAATCGTGCGACTCTCCACGTGTGGCACGTTAGGATGAGTTACGCGTCCGATAGATCGCCCGGTCATTTTTCCGGATTACACGCGGCGAACTCAGAGTCGTCCGGTGATTTTCAGTGATTTGTTTGCATAAGGATGCCGCGCGATCTGGTCACGTTACATGGGCCGATTGCTCAATCTGTTACGTCAGAATTTGGCGAGAAGTGAGAAAGACCGGAGGCAGACTGTTTCGAAATTAATTTCGACGAATACGCCTTTCTCTCTTTCTTGACCATCCCGACAAAGCTTCTTGCTTGGTTTGAAACTGAAATAGAAAGGGAGAGAGAAAGAGAAAGAGAGAGAGAGAGAGAGAGAGACTTTCGAAACTACGCAACACCTGTCGCACCTATCTGGCTATCTACTTGCGACCGTCTTGATAATAATCTTTTTCGGGAGACTGCACTAGGAATTTCAGTCGGCATGCGATGCCAGTTGATCACAAGATCTCGGCTGGTCATTGTGACTGAGCGAAACGCGCGTTTGAGTAAACGAGCGAGTAGAGCAATCAACGGAATAAGCTTGAATCGCTTCCACGCGAGCGTGCCATTATGAGGTAGCCGTTTCTTGGTGCACTTATGATTGACCCGTCAAACGCGGCTCGACCTCGCGACGTTACCGTCGGGAAATGTGTACGCCTCTTGAGATATTACGAGCTTGTTACACGTTTAAATTGTTGTGAGGTTCGCGATATCGAATGATCAAGTTCACACGATAATTTGGTCGCGGCCGAGACGGACGCGCGAAGGTAGCTTTCAAACGGCTTTCCGCAGTGAGGGTCCCGTCTGCGCCGTTGGAAGTGTCGTATAACACATTTTATTGCCCGATACGGCGATATTTTATTGCTCACTGGTAGAAAATTATAATTAGTTTCGGCGTCAAACATGCACTGAGAAACTCATTTAGTTGACTCCAAACCAAATTTTTCGCTGGATATAGGCAAACCAATGTTTCGCGAGAATCAAAATTTGGTTCTCTGAACAACACTTTTTACATTTTCGTTCCAGAGAACCGAATCTTTGATTCTCACAACTAAAACATTTGTTTGTCCACAAGAAGAAAAATATTTTGCTGATGCAGCAAATTGTTGGTTACTAGAGGAAAAATAAAAAAATTTGTTTAGACAGAGAAAAGATTTGTTAAGAGTATTAATTGCTATTTGTTGGACATATGGACAGCAAAATAATCTGGTCGTGCGAACTAAATTTTATCGCTGTCAACTAAATGGATTTCTTAGTGTACCCTTTAACCACAAAGTAGTCGGAAGAACCATTTTTCTAACGTTACTATAATATCAATGATAATAATTTTATACGCATGTTGCTGCTACTATAAAATAAGTTTTGCGCCGAAACTAACCATAATTTTCTATCGGTGTTCGCACACGTGTCTTTCTTTCTCTAACGCGATTATCGCGCCGAGCGATCGCGCATATTCGTTTATCGGCCGTCGGGCTTCGCGATCATCCCGACCGTCGAGTACGTATCCCGCTAAAGGACGCTGGTTCTAGCAACCGTTAATTAAAATCCTGTCCCGCCCCGTGGTCGTTCGCGGCCGGTAAACGGCCGTTTAACGCGCTCGCGACGGCTGTGGACGCGCGTGAACGAGGGAACGAGCGAGCGAGCGCGCGGACGCGAAATTTTAGGCGGACCGGCCATGGAAATGCCACCCGGATTAATGTTAATGGTAATCGTAATATCATGTTAAAGGTGAGTCAGTGAAAGCAAATCATCGGTCTCCTGTCCGTTGCACAACGCGCGAGCGAGCGAACGAGCGCGAGACCGCGTGAGCGAGCGAACGAACGAGCGAACGAGCGCATCTCTCGAGGATCCTCCATTTATCCGCGAGATGGAAATGACGGGGCATCGAATTTAGCGGCTCTCCGGAACTTTCTATGGCTCGATAAGGGTTGGAGATTACGAGGCAGGTCGCTCGTAAATTCACGGACCCGCGATTCCTCGGATCTGCCGCCTCGGTGCGATAATCGCCGATAATTAATCGTCGATAATATCTACCACAGGCAGGTTCCACTTAATACTCGCTACGATTGCGAGTATCATTACATTTCTGTTTAACATCCAGAAGGAGCGAAGATAGCTCGTTGCCAGCGTTAAAAGTTGAACCTGCCCTATGTGGCATCAGAATCTCGTTTCGCTGGGCGCGTGCACAATACGCGACGTCGCTCGCTCGCGAATCGGGCGTATCGAAAGGTCAGGGCTTGCGGCGCTTTCGTTTCTGAAATTAATTGGCGCTAATTGAAATGCCGCTCGAAATCGGGTGATTGATCGCCGGGCCTCACGGGCGGATTCCGGAATGATTCATGAATTCGGCGAGCCCGTGGTGGCGATTTACGAAGCGGCAGCGGCCGCATAACGAGGTATCGCGAGTGTAAATTGTAGTCCGCGCGCGGCGCGCGCAAATGATGCAAACCTAAAGGTCACTCGGACCGTCTAATACCTTCATACTCGCACGAGCTGCTGCTACGGTGAAGTATTGTTGAAAATTATAATCGACAGTCGGTAGTTAATCATTACCAGCTGACAGTTATTAATGGTAATGGTTAGTTATCGCGGCTAAATACTTGGATTGGATTCGCGCGCATACGTGCGCGAGCGAGCGAAACGCATCGCGCGAAACACCATCCGATCTTCTTCGCGGCGTCCCGCCGTCACTTTTTGACGATTCGGCAAATTTACAACACAATGTCGGGGAAAATGACTGCACGCTCGCGCGTACACCGTCACGATGCGTTCCGTCGGGCTCGCAATTAATTCGAGTAGTCCCGTTGAATTATAGTAATTGCGAGCAACAAGTTAAAGTTCACGCACGTGCGTCCACGTGCGTTAGACTGTCGTGCATGGCCTTCTCTAAATATCGAGGTCGAAAGGCCCCTCGCTTTCCATCTTTGTAACCCGCGGACGTCCCGAGAGCGAACCCGACCGGCGATAAACATCTTTTCGAGCGTTGTAATTATACAGTTATGCTCACACATCGTTATTACGCAATCCGTCGAATCCCCCCAAGACCCGAGCTGCGGTCGGCGATTATTCGCGCGAAACAGCTCGGTCCCGATGAAATTTCCATCCAATAAAGACAATACCGAAGCCGCGATATTTCCCGCGATCCCCTCCGATTTCGCGCTCTTGACATCGATGCTTAATTTAAGCGTCTCGAAATGAAGCGAACCGCAATTATACGCAATCACGTAGCTTATTATGCGACGAATCGACGAACGGTCTATGACGAATCGCAGAACGAGTTACGGTCGTCGCGAACGGCAAAGTTCACGCGTGCGTGTGTCACAAGTCGAGGTGCGAACCGCTCGCTCGCTCACTCGTTCGTTTCGCTAACGAGGTCGTCGGGTCGCCCGAAAGAAGAAGACCACGCGAGGGAGAAGTGGACCGGGCTGCGCCTAATATCGCAAGAACACGCGATGCACGAAACCGAGATTTTGCATACAATCGCGAAGCGTTTTGGCGAGGGTCGCGCACCAGCGACGCCGGTCAAGGAATCGAACGCCGGACCGGACGCGTCCTGTCGCTAAAATCGCGATCACGCTGAGACGCGCTGTCGCCGATCGGCCGGTCGTTGCGACGCCTTTTGCGCAACGATCGCTATTGTATGCCGACGACAGCGTTGACGCGAGCCTGTTCGCTCGCGAGTGCACTCGCAATTAGAAAAGTGGAAGATCGCTCGCTGGGATTCGCGAGAGCGACGCGCGAGCGACGCTTGGAAATTGCGCGCGAACGAAAATTGCGACGACGTGATTGCTTAATGACGGAATGACGGTTTTCCCGCGTGCTTCGTACCGTAACTCGCGCCGACTTTTCCCTCAAATTATGGAAACGGATTTCTCCCACCTGCGTTGAAATTATCCGAGATTTTTTCACGCACAGAGTATACGTTCCGATTGGAGTACCCGAAGTTGTCCCAAAATTAGTTATCCCACTACGACGTTGATTGAGAATCCCATTCTTATCCCAAATATAAGACGAAGCCTCTTTGCTGTGATTGGCCGTGCGCTGCCGCGTCCGACTGTCATCGCCAGAGTCGCGTGGCAGTTTAACCGAACATCAAATTAGGAAATTGAACTTTCACAATCCACAATAGGTGTAGTAGTTACAAAGAGCTTTTAGTTCTTTATTCTAATCAATAAAATGTAATTTAAAAAAAAGGCAAAAGTTTCTCCTGCTGCCAAAAATCGCTTAAATCTTAGAAATTGCGACGTCTAGTAATGATGGAAAGTTTTTTTGCTAGAAATTACTTACTACAACTTTCTGCTTAGAATAAAATGCGAAAAGCTTATTACACCTATTATAGAGACCAGAAGAAATCTTTGGGAAAATGTTGAGGATGACCAAATATCTATTTCTATATATCACTTAAACTCGTATGCTTGAAAATACTTTTAAACAGAATCTGCATAGATTTTCAACTAGAATCTATGATTATTTTGAGAAATCAGGTTGAATCTCAATTAAATCCCAAGAAATTTTCTATGCGCGGGCATTTGTCAGTCATGGTGTTACGTTTCGCCTCGCACATTTCTCACAGTTGCTCCTCGTCCCAACTGCTTCCG